CACTATTCAAAAGAGACAATAAAAGGGAAGCAAAAAGACCAGAACACCTCCTTGCCAGCAATCAACACCCAGATAAGCAGGGATTAACACTAGGATTAACACTGGACAAACAATCAATCAGTAAACAACAGCCTAATCAAGGAACTATCAAGGAGAAAACCACACCCCCACCTACACTGGCAGGGCAAGCTACTGTATATAAACAGAGAGCAAACCCCACTCCCTTCTAGCACTGAAAGTGTTACCTAGCTGGGTAATGAAACATCTGCAATCAAGCAACCAAGCTCAGAGAACCCCAAGGACTCCACAGTTCAGCCTTGAGCCACATATATTCTCTTCTATTGGTAACACTCTATTTTTTGTTTTTTCTCCAGTGCCCTTATCAAACAGTGGTGCTGGTTGCTTTCCTTCTTTGTTGGCTTATACTTTAAATGGTTTGTATGCTGGGCAGACCAAAGTTGTAGATGTGCTAGATATCATGGTTTTTCTGGAGACTCTAGAACACTGAGGCGCTCAAAGACAATAAAAAAAAAAGAGGTTAATAAAATACAGATTTGCGGGGAAGGGGAAAGTTGACAACAGTGACTGATACTGAGTTCCTGAAATTAGACTTAATGATGATCAGATTTGTTTCTGATATAACAGTCCTGAAGTAATTTGAAATCACTGAGTCATAGCAATATCCCTTTTCTTTTAGAGCATGCTTAATACTATACTTATTTCATAAATATCTTCTGGAGAGTTATAAGTCTTTGGACCTGTTCTTATGTGCTTATCTTTAATAATTCATCGTGTGTCTGTATTAGTGATTTCAATTGTGAAGTAATACATTTGGAAAGGATGTATAATTGCATTCCATTCCCTCCCCCTTATTTGCCACCAGCCAGCAACTGTCTGGTGAATTAAGATGGCCTTTTCCAACTAGCCCCACGCTGCTAAGCCTCGCTCTTACTGGAAACTAAGAAGAAGCTATTTAGATTTTTCTTCTCTGATGGAAGGCTGCAGCAGTCAAATGCCTGGTCTCCTGCTGATGTTCCTATATTGAAATATAGAGCCGCACGGGGCTAGATGGGAAGTGGTGAAGCTGGCTGTGAGATGTGCTCTTTAGCATGG